AATTTATTTATGATTTAATTAATTGGCTATATATTTAATTAATTAAATATATTAAGGTTACAAATCTATGCAATTTGGTCACGGTTCAAAAATTTTAAGGTCACAATTCAAAACTTTTATAGATCACAGTTTCTTCATCGGTCACAAATTAAAAATTTAAAAGTCACAATTTATTCATCGATCACAAATAACAAAATTTATAAATCACACAACTTATTTTATGGTCACAAAATATCAAATTAATTGATCACAAATTATATTTAGGTCACAGTTTATCAAATTATTGGTCACAAATTAATAATTTTTAGGTTACATATTGTTTATTGGTCACAAATTAACCAATTTAATGGTCACCACCAACCACCAACTTGTGACCACCACCAACCATCAACTTGTGACCACCACCTCATCATTCCCTCCAGCAACACCACTGCCACTGTCGCCGTTAGAACCACCACCTCCCCGACAGCAACACCACCTCAAACAAATCAATACATCGCGAAAAAACATCATCGCATCCTCACACCGATCCACCACCACCGTGACATGCCCATCGCCACCAGCACCAAGATCCACCACCATCGCCACCAACAAAACCACTGCACACAACCACAGAACAACACTGTCTCCTATCACAGATCTACTTCGCTTCTCGCAAATCTCACAGACCACCACGCCCACCACAGATCCACCACCACGCTGGCGCAATTAGATTCACCACCACCACCTTGCACCCCAACACAGCCCACACCACCATCAACGCAACCCGACATCAATGTACACCACTATCTCGCAACAGATCCAACCACAACCACACACATCACCAAAATCGCCGCTGCTAGAACAACCACCACAACCACACATCACCAACACCTTTCCCGATCTAATCAACGGAGAGCACTGCGGTACTATCAACAAACCATTAATAAAAAAAAACTTGATGTCTATTTGGGATCACCTCCATGGTCAGCCGATGTTACAAAATCTGATATCCATTAACATGAACAAGACCTCCAACACCATCAGCACCGATTTCGTCCAACTCAGCGGTGGCTTCGTGAGAAAGAGATGGTAAGAGGAGAGGTTTCGCGATGAAGAGAGGGTGAGATGTGATAATAGATAGAGGCGGTGGTGGTACTAGCGCGGTGGTGCCAGTGGTGGTGTCGTCGAGGTGGTAGCGACGAGGAGAGAATGAGAGGGAAGAGAAAATAAAATAATTAGGATTTGGAATTGTGTAGGATTGATTTAAATAAAAATTAGGGCTTACTTTTTTTAAAATGTATTTTGAAAAAAAAGAGGATAAACAAGGGCTTACTTTTTTTATATAGAAAATAAAAGATAAAAAAATGGTCAGCCGATGTTACAAAATCTGATATCCATTAACATGAACAAGACCTCCAACACCATCAGCACCGATTTCGTCCAATTCAGCGGTGACTTCGTGATAAAGAGATGGTAAGAGGAGAGGTTTCGCGACGAAGAGAGGGTGAGATGTGATAAAAGATNCGTCGAGGTGGTAGCGACGAGGATAGAATGAGAGGGGAGAGAAAATAAAATAATTAGGGTTTGAAATTGTGTAGGATTGATTTAAATAAAAATTAATTTAAAAATCATTAATTAAAACCTGATTTATGTATTCTTAAAGTTGATTATGGATTTATGAAAATTGTATCTTAAAAACCTGTGAGGCTGTAATTTCCTTGCGAGACAAGTCATGTCATTTGGCCTATTGCTAATAAGATAGACATTCGAGAAGGAGTTAACCTACTTGTACAAAATTGGGTTATAAAAATGGTTGACAAATTGTGTGATGGCAAGATCTCGACCAATGATTTCAAAAACTGTTTTTTAAATCATTGGCCCAGATCTTGCCAACACATATTTTGTTATCAATTTTGTAATCCAATTTTGTATCTTCGAGAACAGTAGCTTGAATACCATATTCCCAATTGGGTTTCTAGTTTAATCATAGTACTTAACTTTCTTAATGAAGAAAATGAATTTCCAAGAAAAAAAGGTGAAATATCCCAAAAATAGTTTATGCAGTGAAAAATACATCTCAAACTCGAGTCAAACAAAAGAAAATCAAAAATGATAAGAGCACCTAAGAAATTAAAATTACAAATATATTGATATTTGATGTACATAGGTGGTTAACTGCAAAATAACCTCATGATTGGGACTATTTCAGAGTCTGTTTTATCGAAAAGAAAGAAATATAGAGGTTGGACATTCATCTCTGTCGTGATAGACACGGTTGCGCCCTAGATCCTTTAACAATGTTCTTGAAAAGCAAATGGTATATGTGGTTCATCTCCTTGTTGCCATTGACTCTGTCTTTACCGATCTAACATCTTCATTATGGAGACATTGAATAGAGCTCAAAGCTAAAACTCGTCTACAAAGAAAGATTGTCCAACGTGCTTATAATCTTACAAGATACGCCCTTCAAGAACGGGATGAGAGATCATTGATTTCTTCCAATCAAACAATGACATCATATCTGTTTATCAAAAGATATGAACCCAAAGAAATGAAGACAGGAAGAAGAAAATTAAACACCCTCTTGTTGACAAAATTCGTCTTTTGATCAGATCCTTCTTCTGCAATAGTTTCGAGTTTTGGCGCATTGGAAGGCCTATGAGGAAATATGAGAGGGGAAGGAGCAACCTCCTCAATCCAATAGTGCATGTAACCCATTTGCTTTCCCATGACTTGGAATCAATAAAATTCTTTTGAGGGGAAAAACAGCAGTATTGTGTTGTGCAGATGCAAGAGGAAGAAGATGAGAATGGAATTAATGGGAATGATTACTTTAAACAGCAGTTTATATAATAAATTGGAAACGTAAAAGATTAGGAAAAATCTTTGGACGAGATTGATTTTGAAGAAATTAAGAAAATGATTTAAGATTGTTTCTAGAGGAAGTTTAGTCAAATCCGACAGAAGCGGGATTCTTGGAAGGCTCTTCCGTAGACTTGATGAACAAGTTTCGGGAGAGATTTAATCCATGGTTCTAGAAGAGATTTGACCACATAAATTTTATTTGTTTTTAAGTTAAACTTTGGAAAAATACTATTCATCCCCAGCGGGGATGCATCCCCGTCTATGTGGATATAAATGATAGGTGAAATTAAATGACTTATTTAATTTCACCTATCATTTAATAACACATTAACGCCACATAGACTGGGGATGAATAACATTTCTCTAAACTTTGGCATGCTTTAACCCCTTTTTTTTGTGTAGAATGTATTTTAAAATAGTAGATTGAAGAAAAATGTATTGTTAAAAAATATGAAAAAAATTGAGTTTGTGTGTAATATTATTTTATTGAAGAATTTGATGTTAAAAAAAATGAGAAAATGTATTTTGAAAAAAATGAGGATAAACAAGGGCTTACTTTTTTTATATAGAAAATAAAAGATAACTTTACTTAAAAAAAAAAAAAAAGGGTAAATTCTAAACCTAATCAAAACTTGCTTTTCAAGGGATTGATCCAATTATTTTTATATCCTTAGTTTTAAGGACCTCAATCGTAATCAAAACTTGCTTTTAAAATGTTTGGATCTAATTGGAGCCAGGGTGGCTTGGATAATTAAATTAAACTCATCAATTCATGTGAAGTGCGAAAGACTTGAGCCGAATTTATTTATAATATCCTCTCGCTCGGCAGACGGCCTATTAAATTAAATATTTGTAGTTACTCGATCTTTGAATCTTGTGAAGATTAGATGGTAAATATAAGGCTTAAATTCCGAAATAATTAAGGGATGTTCTCTTCGTATTTCAATTTTTAGTTTTGAATTCATTTTGAGTTTTGTATTTTGAGATTGTGGAAAATGCGTTCTTTTTGTTATTTTAAAAAATTATTTTCAAAAATAAAACAAATGAAGTTTTGGCATAGTTTTAACTAAAAACAGTCAAAATGACATTTTTGACGTTTTCTGATTTCTTTGTAAATTTTAAACTCGTTTCTTGGAAATTCATTTTTAAAAATTGGTAAGTAAGTGTTTTCGAAAACTGAAAACTGAAAATGACCTGAAAATAGCAAAGAGAACGTAACCTTAAATTTTGAGTGGCTTTAAAATGTTATTGAAACATCACTAAACTCTGTGAAATGCTCTTCATTCATCATTCGTTATGATTTTGTGTGTTGACTTGAACTGAACTTTAAAATATTGCTGAAGCCTATCTAAGTCAACAAATGGTTATCCTTACAAGTGATGAATGGGAGAACATTTTGACAAAGTTCAATCGCATTTCAGCAACATTTTAAAGTTCGATAAGATTTTCATGACGCTACTTAAAGTTCAGTTTTTTTAAAACAATTAACTTGCAAATATAAAATACTCAATTAATGAATATGTAACAGCTTCATAATAAACATTGGCCTTGTACTTCAACAGCAGCAATCTAAGTAGATCGAATAACAGTTAAACAAGGAAGACTTCGCTTGCATAATTTCCAGAAAACACGTTGTTTAGAAGTGGTGGAAAAAAGAAGAAACATATTTGGATGTCTGGAGGTATACTTCTGAAATGTCTGGTTTACAAGTATTAGACGACTCAAAAAGCTTGTCGTCTGCAATTTCTTCCTGTATTGTTTCGAGGGATACCTGATGTTGGAGCCTCGATACATGGAGATAGGGAGCTGGTGCAACTGCCGAGAATGGAGTCCGGCCTGGTGGAGTTCCCCAGGGCCGAGTCTCTGTAGCTTGAGGGATTTTGCTTGAAGACATCGCAAGGGTTAAATGTTATGAATATTGGGCTTAACTCCACCTGATAAAACCGGTTTATTAGGGGAGGATTGTCCTCACCTTATTAAGTGGATCATTTATATTTTCCCAAACAATGTGGGATTCTAATACGCCCTCTCACGCACAGCGTGGACCATACCAAACAACTGTAAACAAATCGATATTGGGTGGCACCCAACATTACATAATTGAGCCTAACTCTGATACTAGGTTAGGAATATTGGGCCTAACTCCACCTAATAAAGAGGAAATTACACCAAACCATGTGTTTTCTTTTACATTTTAAAAATTCAGGTTTTAAAGTTTTTTATTCAATTATCAGGTTTTTATAATTTTAATTAATAATGATTTTATAAAATTAAAATAACATATATACCCACCCCACTATCTACCCCCACCCACTTTATTTTAAATATAACATCTATCCAAACCCTAATCCATTTCACACCTCCTCCCTCTCTCACCCGCCGCCACCACCACCGCTCGACGCCCCCGCCGCCTCCACCCTCCTCTCCTCCTTTCTTCCCCCC